AAAAAAAAAAAAAAAGACAAAAGTAAAGAAAATCCATCTTCCACTGATTTACATTATTCAAAGTGCCATCCTGAACCACACACCCTTTCATTTTCAAAAGGAAAAAAATTACAAAAACAGTGAACACAAAGGATACTCAGGTTACAGCTAGTTTATATACAAAAAAATTTACAAGTCTGCCATTTTTAGGCTTTTGCCACAAACAAATGCACATTTGTCCCTACAAAGCACAACATGCCTGAACCAATGGTCACTACAAGAGACAACTGGCCATGGCTTTACAAAGAGCAGAAAAACTGCCCCAAATTAAAATCATTTACTCAGCTTAAACTATGCCACAACCATCCCACTTGGAATCTCTACCCTGAAGCCTCTGAAACCCACTAAATCTTTCTCATCTCTGCCATGTCTCCAAAGAATGAAAGACATTTTTCATCCAATAAATCAAGGAGGATGACAAATGATTCTAATTACTCTTAGGTGAGAAATGCAACCACGCTGGATGCAGAACACAGTGCTGACTACATTTATTGAAGACCCCCTCCCTATAAGCCCATGTAAGAGGTCTTGGCACCTAACACAAGCCCCACAAAGGAGGCCCACATCTGTTTCAGACAGGATTTGCATCAACACAACCTTCCAACCAGTGAGTAATCTCAAAGTGTGATGGGTGAGTTTTACATAGTCTTCGTTTCCAATCCAAATTGGCTGATTAATTTTGCCATTCCAGAGGCTGAACTGTATGAAGACCCCAACCACCACCGACCAAGTGAAGTTCAGAGACTTTCGGACAGTTCATAGTGCCAACAAATTTCACAGGCTCCGACCAAGTATAACCACATCCTTTGGAAATCCTTCCATTTTTGCAATTTCAAAACAGCCTAACTTGCTGTAAAATTCCAGAATTCTTTTATCATCTGGTCTCACTTCACAGAAAGCCCCCCGGGAGCCTAGAAATAAAACAAATATTCAAAATGTAAATGTCAACTGGAATTATGGATAGGAGTTGTCATGAATCTTTAATATATTTCAAATAGGTGACAGTAGGAGCTTATCTATACCAGTCCCTAAATTTCATACCACAATTTTTAAAATTCATATGAATATTCAATGAATATTAGTATTCATCAATACTGAATACTGCAGCGGCAACTATCTTAAATGATGGATATGTTAACTAGCTTGAATGTGGTAATTACAATTATTTCAAATCATCAAACTGTACACCTTAAATATATACAGTTCTTAATTCTCAAAAATACCTCCATTAAAAAAACTCAGTGAAGCCATTTGCAACTACGTGGATGGAATTGGAGGGTATTATGCTAAGTGAAATTAGCCAGTCAGAGAAAGACAAAAATCATATGACTTCACTCATATGAGGACTTTAAGAGACAAAACAGATGAACATAAGGGAAGGGAAACAAAAATAATATAAAAACAGGGAGGGGGACAAAACAAAAGAGACTCATAAATATGGAGAACAAACTTAGGGATACTGGAGGTGTTGTGGGAGGGGGAATGG